GAGGAAAACCATTTTGCAGTTTTAATTTCCATTTTCATAAACAGCATTCAAAACCCTATCGATTCATCTGGGTCTCCATTCAAAGTCCCACGGTAAGTAGACTACCCCTCCTTGGTCAGTTCCTATGCCATCACCTTCAATTCTAATGCTCATATGCTAAGGTATTAGAAATCCACAGTTAAACCGACAGTCGAGGGGTTGGTTGCGCACATTACTGGGTCACCGATTGCCGGTTCGCGGGACACGGTAGCAGTATAATGAATGATGATGAGCCCTTTGTCAAAATACTTTGACGAAAGTGTTTTCGTGAGCGAGAAAACTCACGATTTCTTCCTGTCAATAGGCTATGGAATTATAATACAATGGAAGTTCGGCATACCCAACAGTAAATTTGCAAAATTGCTCTTTCTTCTATCGCTTCCCATCACAGTCGGCCCCAGCTTATTACTCCTCCCCCTTCATTTCAATGAGTCGAATAAGGCATGGAATATCCCTTGGTTTCACTTTCACTTAGTGTCGTGGCCTTCTATCAGGTATTGATAATCGTTAATATTGCTTCTTTATATCCAGTTCTTCGAAATTTACTTACCAGTTAGACGCAGCGAGCGATGCAGCCAGGCGCTGATCCTAAAGGTTCTTTTGCCCCAAATTAGCTACTTCTTGAAATTCAGAGTAGTCATTCGAGCGTCTACTAGACTGAAATGCAAGGAATGTTTCCACAAGGTGTATCGATCAACGTCAGGGAGTGAGCCATTTCTAACGAAGGCAAAATTAATGTCTCGTGTGACTGAACTAGGTGCTCAAAAGCCATTCTTCAAACGGTCACTCAAAGGTGCGAGCTGAGCCTTATGTTAAACATAACAAATTGTGGAATCGCCGCTCTTTCAGTGCTGTTTGCAAAATGAGTGTATCTAATTTTAGCACATCAGCGGCCATGTAAAAAATTTGCATCGAGCGTTCATTGTATGACAGGCAAAATATATGCGTTTCAACTGTGTACAATGTGGATATGAGCTGCTTTTACAGGTACTGCGAATTCAAGGAACACAGAAATGAGTACATTATTTTGAACTATCACACAGGACCAAATAGTACGCGTTTGATCGCAGAAGATTACTACAAACTTTTCGAGCGAGCGGGTGTTCCGAAGAATCTTTTGGAAACGATATACAGCGAAATGATGAGTAAGTGATCATGGATAACGAGATTCCGCGTTGAAACTATGAACGAAACCACCCTTGCATTGTTTATACATCCTACAACACACTATTTATTTCCCTATTTGTCGCGCTTCTGATTTAAGGAGAAAAATGAGATTGCAGCTAAAAGGCGGTAAACGGTGCAGAGAGAAGGTTCAAGACGCCTTAGCGGCACAGTACACTACAATTTTGAGGTACTTGGTTTTAGACGAATTGCGAAAGTGGTAATTCAGAATAGTACAAAATGCAAAGAAAGCGAAATGAGCATATCTAGAAAAATATTAGGTCCACAAAAGAAGTGAGTTCGTTCGAAAAGGAAGTTCAAACGCGTGCGCCAGTGCATACACCTGGCTGCAATACGCTGCTTGCGTGCAAAGTGTGCGTCCTGGTGCGAATGGTGCAACCTCTGCAGCTCTTACAACGCTCAAGAACTCGTCCACCTTGGGTGTGTGCTTCGGTTAAGCCGGTTTTAGAGTTCTCATCGCGCTTTATTATAGCCGTTTTTGAAGCCGACAGCTAGACTATCCTTTGGGGTCACAGGTTCATTAAAGGGAGGGATCTCAGAAAGCGCTTCCGACTTTAACTGCTTTTATTAAGCGAACATTCTGATGATCTCTGTCTCGTGGAATGTTAGCTGGAAATGCATAGTTCACCGTGAAAACGGTTTCCGAGATTCCTCCTTTCAATCCTTTCGCTTGGTGTTGACCAGGTTCAGGAAAGTTATCGCTTGCGATTTGCAGATGCTATATATTTCCACCTGAGTCACAGCAGTAGTGATGGCGGCATTGTTTCTTGTGCTATTAGGGTTGCTTTCTCAAGGTTGAGTTGAATACTAGTTTAGGATCATCCTGCGGTCCTTAGTAATTTCTCAATCGGGCACACTTTCATAATCAAAAGTGATTCCAAAATAATTCGAGGTCAAAACATGTATTCTGCAACATACGCCTATAAAGCGCTGGTGCGCTTGGAGCACTAAACAGTGGGAGTTGACAGTGCAGCCATGGCGTCCCAATTTAACCTGACATTTATTGATCATCAAAATAGTTTAAATCGATTATGTCATGTTATCCTGTGAATGCTCATGAAAAGTCCGATTGCGAAGATTCTGACGATGGTACGACGCTTTGACGTTCTCCCTTGTTTTCAGTGGCAATTGTACGGAACAACCATGCCCTCTCCACGTATATGTCCTGTGAATAATTACAAGTTATGAACGTCCAAATTATCCACTGCATGAGTCTGTATCAGGGAGCTGTGCTACGAGAGTTACTGCGGGGGGGGGGGGGGGGGGGGGGGGG